ACTAATCAGTTTTATGTTTGCTTCTAGTCAGATGCTAAACTATTGAACTTCAAATTCTGCTGCACTAGCCCAGCATTAGGGTTGCAAACATGTTTTAGGTTTGCACTTCTCTTTCACACACACTGCAAGGGGCTGTTTTATTTTTAAAAAATGTTCTCACTAGACTTTTTTAAAGTAATGGAAACATTTGTATTGCTAAGTTTTAACATTGCTCATGTTTACAAAACCTAAAGTTTGGGCCAAATTGGACTTGGTGAATTTCCTTTAAACAATTAATTGCTCATTATTTTCCAAACAATCCATCAAGAGCTCTATTTTGTAAGTGTAATGACATACTCCATGGCATGCAGTTGTGAGATAACCTCACTTTTTGTCTTCTAGAGCTACTAAAGAAGACAATTTATTGGTCTGAATGCTAAATACTGACTTCCATGTGCCAATAGAATGGCACCTACTTTTTTGATCTGTGAATAATTAGCGCTAGGGAATTGTATTAATAACACAATAGCTTTTTTTATATACAAAGCCAGGAACTGGGCTGGTTGTGTGCATAAGTTGATAAGTGCAAACAGCTTCTAATTTCAAATATACACAAATCAAGGCTGCATTAAAACATGGTACACAGGAGCTTTAATGATAGACTTTTAACACCAAGACAAAAACCAAACTTGGTTTTTGGAATGTACGGACAATATATGAAACAGGGAAGCTAGCTTAGGTCACAGCAGAGATGAGACGCTACAGCTTAAACAGCCTGGGTGTCAGCGAGAGCAGATGGACGGGATCAGGAAGATTAACAGCCTCGGGAGAAACTTTGCTGTGTTCTGGATGGAATGATGGACAACACCATGAGGGTGTTGCCATCCTTTTGAAGATGGGAATGGAGGTCCATCTGCATCAGACTTATGAGAGCCAGACTGAAAGGGAAATATAATAATATCACCCTGATTAGGTGCTATGCTCTGAAAAATGACAGTGATGAAGTAGTAAAGGACAAATTCTACCTTACACTATAGGTGGCGTTAGAGAGAGTACCACACCATGACCTAACTATCATCATGGGAGACCTTATCAAAGTCGGTAAGGACAACACAAACAACAACAGAGCAATGGGAAGACATGGGTGTGGCACCATGAATGAAAACGGAGAGAGGCTTGTTGATTTCTGTAATATGAATGACCTAGTTATCGGCAGAACCCTATTTCAACACCGGGAAATCTACAAGGTGACATGGTGTTCTCCAAATGGCAGAGATAAGAACCAGATTAACCATATGATCAATGGCAAATGGCGACGCTCACTGACAGATGTGAAAGTGAGAAGAGGTGCAGATATTGGCAGTGACCACCACCTTGTGACAGCCTCCATCAAACTAAAACTGAGAAGTATGGGACATAGACTTTATGACATTGACAAGCTAAAGTCCCCTGAAATACAGAAAGCCTTTGTTCTGCAGTTAAAGAACAGGTTTCAGGCCCTTGCAGACCTTGATGAAGAGGAGGGGAATGCAGATGAGGAGATCAACAAGAAGTGGGACAAAGTAACAGCAATTTATAAACAGAGCAGTGAAGCCTGTCTAGGATACAGTCAGAAGAGACGGAAGGAGTGAATTACACCCAGCACATGGAACGCCATAGAAACTAAACAAGCCCTGAAGAAAAAAGTTTTAGACACAAAATCCCAGAAGCTAAAGGACAAATACCACGAGGAGTATAGCAAGGCACACCGGGAGGTCAAACACCTTGTGAGAGTGGACAAACGACATTATATCGATAATCTGGCAACACAAGCAGAGGATGCAGCTGCTTGTGGTGAACACGGAACCGTCTACAAAATTATTCGGTTTATCAGTGGTAAAACGGCAGACACCAACAAACACTCTCATCAGGGACAAACAAGGCCACCTACTAACAAAAGAACAAACAAGAAATATGCTGGACAGAGCATTTCAAAGAATTGCTGAACAGGGAGCCACCTAAAGAGGAAGCAAACATCCAGGAGGCAGAAGAAGATCTTGATATCAGCACAGACACCCCAACTAAGGAAGAGATCATTCAAGCCATCAAATCCTTAAAAAAAAAAAAAAAAAAAAAAAAGGGAAAGCTCCTGGCAAGGATAACTTAAATGCAGAATTATTCAAGGTAAATCCTCAGTTAGCAGCATCTATCCTGGCCCCTCTATTTACATCAGTCTGGGAAAGGGAAAAAGTGCCAGATGAGTGGACCAATGGGGTTATAGTGAAGATACCAAAGAAAGGAACTCTCAGTGATGGTAATAACTGGTGTGGTATCACACTTTTATCTGTGCCAAGCAAAGTATGGTGTAAGATCATAGTCCAGCATATATCAGAGGCAGTTGATAGCATTCTCAGAAAAGAGCAAGCCGGTTTTCGGAAAGGGTGTGGATGCACAGACCAGATCTTCACTCTACGAAACATAACAGAACAATGCTTAGAATGGCAACAGCAGCTCTACATAAACTTCATAGACTTTGAGAAGGCTTTTGATAGGATTCACAGGACCAGCCTATGGTGCATTCTGTGGGCGTATGGAATCCCTTATTTCAACTTTACATGCAGTGTTGATTACAACAGTGAGCTCAGTTTTGAAGTCAAAACAGGAGTATATCAGGGGTGTGTCATGTCTGCAATCCTCTTCAACATTGTCATCGATTGGGTAATGCAGCATACAACAGAAGACATGCCAAGAGGCATTAAATGGACACACTTCTCATCCCTTGAAGACCTAGACTTCGCGGATGAAGTCACTCTCCTATCACATACCCAACACCATTGTACAAGAAAAAACTCGATTCAACACATTCAGCCAGCAAATTGGACTGAAAATCAATTGCAATAAGACAGATATCATGACCTTTAATATTGCCTCACCATCACCAGTATGGAGAGAGGATTATGTTCTCACCAATGTAGAAACATTCACATACTTGGGCAGCACCATCAGCCAGGATGGTGGAACAAGCCAGGACATCCGGAACAAAATCACTAAAGCCAGGAACACCTTCAGGAGCTTAAATACAGTCTGGAAATCATCAAAATACAACACCAAAACCAAACTCAAGATTTATCAGAGCTGCTTTATACTTTATAGTGGAGAATGCTGGGGAATGAGAAAGTATGACATGACCAAATTGTCTTCATTCCATACAACCTGCCTCAGAAAAATCCTCCGTATCTTTTGGCCCAATCTCAAACCAAGATCTGTTGACACAATGCAGCCAAGAGAATCTAAGAACCATCGTTGCCAGGAGGCGTTGGAGATGGATCGGCCACGTGCTTCGGATGGAAACTGATTCCATCCCGAGAGTAGCAATAAGACGGACACCTGAAGGCAAGTGAAAACGAGGCCACCCGAAAACAATAGGGCAAATAGCTGTGGAAGCTGAGCTGAAAAACCTGGGGCACAGCTGGGGAACCATTGAAAGACTTGCCAGAAACAGACAGGAGCGGAGAAGCTTCCGTCGCTGCCCTAAATGCCAGAGACATGGTGGGAACATGATGAGGAGGGTTTTAACAATTTATTTTTCAAAGGCAGAGGCTCACCTCCAACATTCTGCTTCGTACTGAAGCCTCATTTCAAAATGATGCAGCATCTTATCAAGAGAATCAATATCAGCATTAGCAACTTCACTTATGAGATAGATTGGCCCAATTCAAACAGTTTTTGTAATTTTTCAAGTCCCCTTTCCTTAATCTTGTTTTAAGCTTCCAGGGGATTATTATAAACTTTTCCTTCCATGTTCCCATCCCTTCTCAGCCCTGTGCAAACACAAACACACTGAGGAGCAGAAATGCCCCTTGGGAATTCCCCCAATATACAGGTGGTGTAGTTGGGTGCCGGAGGCTTAACTCACGTTCCCTGACTCCCCATCATAAACCGGGCTGGGGAATGGCTTGGGATGGGAGGGAGCATGTCTGGGGCACTGCCAGAATATTCTGGCGATTGTGGCTGGAGAGCAGCTCATGGGCATCTGGCCTTTGCACCAGCCCAGAATCTTAGAGGGGCAAAGGTTGGGTGGGCATAGAGCTCCCTGTCCGCACACACCTAGGCTGTGCCTCCTGCATGGGGCAGCACAGAATCTAGCCCCAGCTGTTAAAGGGCTTTTCACGAGCCATGCTGCTTCCCGATAAGGAGTTTCTTTTGAAAGGGAAAAGTAGCATTTATTTTGAACCTCAACCTCAAACATGTGCACTCACACACAAATATAGAGTAACATGGACTTCGCAGATAGGTAAAAGAAAAATAAAGGAAAGGAAATTCTGGGCCTTCCCAGTCCTGTCACAGTATCTTTTTAAAAACACTGTAATGCCTCACTCCAGAAGACTGAGTATCAACACCCATTCTGCAGAGGAAGTTACAAACTTACAAAGATAATAGAACACAAAGTATTTCACATTTAAATAGCACCTGAGGGAACTCTACCAAACCCTGATGAGTGATAACATGGGTTTTTTTTAATTATTGGCCAAACCCAGAGGTTTAGTATCTGGGAACAAACGTTTGCTGATCTGAAGCCTGGAAACTAAGGCCTGCTGTGCACTAGGAAATGGACCGTGTTTCATACCCATTGTCCAACCTAACTCTTCTCAGACTCCACATTCAGCCCTGCTTGGCTGCTGGTGTAAACTGGGCCAAGCAATGCTACACACCTAATAAAGAAATCAAGATTGGGCCCTTGCTAGAACAAGGGACCAATCACACGTTCCATATTGGATGTTGAACACATTTTGGTCCCATCTGCATCCAAAACCAAGCATGAAAGAGGAGAGACCTCAGGATGGGGGCCCTGTGTGGTGGTGGTGGTGATGAACACAGTTTATTTTCTAGTGCAGACACAGCCTATTGTGATCATCAGATATTTTAGATCACCACCCAAGAAAAAAACAGGAGTCTGCAGAGAAAACCCACATCTAAGGCTTTGTATAGAAATTAACATTTAGGCTTTGTATTAAGCTGGATGTCAGTCACCCACCACTTACCTGGTGACTTGTGTCCTGGTGCCAAAGTCCAGAGACCTCATTGACTGCAACACTTCAATACAGCCCATGTACTAGAGTAGAAATGGAGAGCAAAAAAATAAAAATAAAAAAATCACAGCTATTTAAAAGAGCACCTTGAAAAAACAGAAAGAGGTTCACAACTAGGTGCAGACATAATTTTGGCCCTTTAAGGACATTAAATAGATGTAGAAACATTTGTACAACCATTTTCAAATCTGCTCAACAATATATATTTTATTTGATTGAATAATGTAATTGACTAAACAATGATTGCAAATAACATAACGTTAAAAGGAGGCAGGGCAATTAACACACACAAAAATCTAACCACCTCCCTCTCCCCAACCCTACTTATCATTGGTTATCTCGTTTCAGTTTGTGCCAGTCCACTAGGTTTACCATTGAACCATGAGGGATGTGTGAGAGGCAGTGGTGACATTTATGCATTAGCAGAAGGGCCATATGCCTTAGGAGCATCCCGCAGAGTGTCCAGGAAGGGAGGGAACTGCATGTCACTCCAAATAGGCCAGCAGGGAGGGAAGTATTGGTGGGTGCAAGAGGAGGGTCCTTTGGATCCATACCTGTGCAGATTCAGTGGCTGGCAACCCCTGTATAGGGGGTTGGAAGAGCAGTGGCTGCTATTCCAGTCCACAGCAACATGTGTGAAGGGACTGTATCATAGAGCACCAGCCTGCCCCAGAATCAGTGGATGAATTCTGTCCCTCCAATCTACAATACACACTTGATTTCCTGCAACAACGCTCATTCACATGGGCTTTGTACAGGGGTGGGGATGAAACAAAGAACTGTGTCAGTCAGAACCTATGTGGAATTTCAGGATGTGTTAGCCTAGGGATTCCTTTGGTGGTTACATATGAACCTATGGACATTTCTATCTCAGTACAATATGCAAGTCAAAGCCACCAACTGATATTACTTCACCCCAAAACATGTACAGTAGAACCTTAGAGTTCTAAACACCAGAGTTACAAACGGACCAGTCAACCACACACCTCATTTGGAACCGGAAGTATGCAATCAGGCAGCAGCAGGGACAAAAAAAAAAAAAAAAAAAAAAAAAAAAAAAAAAAAAAAAAAAAAAAGGCAAATACAGTACAGATGCAAGTTCTGGTGAGTTAGCCACGGCTGTCTTTTCCTGATTTGAAGCCTCTGTTTGGTGAATAAATAGAACTATGGTAAGGAGATTATGGAATATTCTCACAGAAGCTACAGCTGAAACTAGCCTAAGGATTTCTGAAATTACTGTTACAGAAATATTTTTAGTGTACCCGTGTTTTGTTCTGTTTTTTAACTGTACAAAGTGGTATTTCTGCTGTTGGAACTGTGTTCTTTTGTCCTGTAGGGCTGTGATTTAAAAATTAAAGAGATAAAAATCTCTGAGTTATACATTGCAGCATTTATGGAGAATCTTGTGTTCCCTTCTCATTAGTTAGCTCTCACGAAGGGAGTAGCTAAGTGTGCTGCTCAGAAAAGCATTGTAAAAGTCTGTTTACATGCACAGATTTTAAACTCCATTTTCTCTTAGGAACAGAAATTCAGTGAACTGGCTGGCGACACTCTGCTACCCTGGATGAAACGAAAGATTCAGAGGAGGGAGTGAGTCATATGCTGAGATCATATGATGATGAGTAAGTTCACCCTTGCATCCTGAACAGATGCGTGGGAAGCTACTCTAAGCAAAGATGAAAAAAAATCAATACTAGGATTTTGCAATAAATTACCCTGACTGGAGCTGATCTTATTCACAAAAGATGACTCCTTACTTAAAACCTGGGTAGAGGAAATGCATTAATACGGCAACTTCCTCAGTTCCCTGATTTGTTTACTGTCCATGAGTGACCTGAAGATACACGATCAATAAAGGTTGAATCTCCAAATCTCAGGGTGGAAAGAGCAGGGGAAAGTGTAGAAAGAAGATAGCGGCCAGGATCCAGGAGAAGCTGGCCAAAGAGAATGGGAGACGCTGATCAAAGGGAATGGGAGGGAAATGGAAGGCTGTGCCCCAGTATTCAGGAACTTGTGCTGAAGAAGAGACCTGTGGAGCAATCAAAAAGGGACTTAAAGGAGACTGGAACCCCTGCTAAATGAAGCAAAAGAGACTCCCCTAGAAAATAAAAAGTGTGATGCTTTTGATTTAGGATCTGTCTACACTGGAGCTGGAGGTGTCACTTCTAGTTCAGGTAGACATACCCACACTAGCACTGATTGAGTAGTGCACTACCAATAGAAGTGTAGTTGCCGTCGCATGAGCAGTGGGATGGACTAGCCACCCAAGTACATAGGTAGGGCTGGGGTCTTACCCAAGTGTTGCCCTAACTACCCTCATGTGCCCCCCCCCCAACAAAACCCTCTCACCTGAGTTTACTGGTGCTTACAAACTGGGCTAGCTGGCATGGATGGGGGAGTGGGCTAGAGCCCAGGTTCTGCTTTCGCTCAGGCTGGTAACCACTTTGCAGTGAGGATGCAGGCTCACTCACCTGAGTATCAATAGTCATCCACTGCCTTCCCACAATTCCCTTCATGTGCCCAGAAGGACGGGCAAATTCTCCCACAATTCACTGGGAAAGAACAATTGAGCCACTCAGCTTACTGTACCACAGGGAACCATGGAATATGTCCTCAGAAGGCCTAGTGATACTCTGACGGGAGCGCAGCAGTCGGAAGGCTGGAGTAACTCTGGTAGGGCTTTGCATTGTGGCAGCTCAGACCCAGACTAGGCTAAACCCAGGTGCAAATCACCTGAGTTAACTCTGAAATGAAGACTGACTGACTGACTCAGTTTGGAAGTGGAGGTGGAAGCACTGGCTCCATGAAATAGCCACCTTGGGTACGGAAGGAGTTTGGTTGGAGTCTGAGACTGCTGAAGGTTTGCACAGGCCAGCATTCTACCGGCTTCCCCCTTTGTATTTTAAAATACGGCATAGGCATGGGATTAGCAAACCTAGCATCTGGTGTAAGTGTTTCGGGAGTCAGAAGGAGTGGGATCAAGCCCTTATGAGTATGACATCCTAACCCTAGTGGTGTAATAAAATACCTTGTAGTATAAGTTATAATATTCTATATATTCTTTCCCATGTTATAATATACTTTTGCATATGAAACTTTCAACACCAATGCTCCTGGGTTAAGAAAGTAGTTAAAATCCCAGCAGGGTTAGCTAGAAGAAAGGATGCTTACTTGAACAGCCTGGGGCAGGTGCACCTTTAGAAATTACAATGAAATGTGCCACTTCTACACCACTTCAAAGTTAAATCTTGGAAATGTGCTTTCCCCCAGTTCCTCGGTGACTGGCTGAGATCAGCAGCCAGGTGAAGAAGGGCTGGCAGATGTTAAACCCTGGCAAGGTAGAGTGGTTATGCTTGAAGAAGAGTTTGCCATCATGATGAGGCCACAAATTGTCAAAGTCATAGTTCCAAAAATTGTCAGGACAATGTGCAAGGTCTTGTTGATCCCGGTCTTGAATAAAGCAGCATTCCCAGAGTCACGTCCCACCATTTCCCACTGGCTAAGAGATTACATCCCATCCTTGCTGATGATCACTTATTAATGATAATGCTGGCAATGCAATTTATTTAGGCTTGAAAGCATCAGCCCTGAGAAAACTGTAGCTAGAGAAGAATGCTGCAGCAGACCCACACAGCTTCATAGGTTACTGAGAGCATGTTGCCCTGGAGCTCTGGTCTCTTAATACTGTTTTCTATACAGGTTCAGTGTAATTTGATGTCTTGGTCCTTATTTCCATGCTATAAATGGTCATGGCCTAGGATACTTAAAAGGCCACTTCACTGTCTAGGACCTCAATACTGTCGACAGCTCCACTCCTCAAAAACAATCAAACCATCTACTGCCAGGGTGAGGGCATTTGCTGAGGAGACAGGCCTTTCTCAGGGGCCCATGGGGACTGTGGTCTCTCCCACAGGAACTCAGAGCTACTATACACCTTACCATGGTCCAGCTGAAAAGCAAGAAACACTTTTTCAACCCGCTCTTCCCAAACAACACAGAGCACTTTAAATTATTCGTAATATATATATTTCTAGCAAGCTACCCATGCTTTTTTTCCCTGCAGGACGAATGGAAAGGAAATTCCAACTGCAAGATGGTTTAAGTCTAAATTTGGAAGGTGTTTTAATGCCACAATAATTGGCTAAGTATAAAAATGTAAATGGAATAGGCCAGAGTAATTAGCTTACTCAAGGTTGTTGTAATAAGAGATACAAATAAGAGGGCCAGTTACTTGTATGCAGACTTTTGAGCTAAACAGCTGATGTAGCATCTGAATATGCCAATAATAGCTTGATTCTTGATTTCCAAAGCTGTATAAGGAGGTACTTGTCACGGACACTCAAAGGCCAAAGGAAAGCAGTGGAGAGAATCAAGGCTGAATCAAGGGTACTGCACAGAGCATGAACAGCAGGGAATGCAGATAATGTACTGTCCTGACTACAGAAATACTCTGCCCAAGGAAAAGCACCATAATTAAATTTGAGCCCTAGGCTAAGAACATGAGTTCAGCTATTAGGACTCGATCCTGAGCCCACTGAGGTCAATAGTAAAGTTCCCATTGACTTCAATGTGGCAGGGTCAGGCACATACACGGTAGTCCCTCTTTCAGGTATGAGGGACAGGATTGGATAGTATGTGCTAGAGAGGATTGCTCCTCGCTAAAGGAGAGGCCAACAACTCTTCCAACAGGTAAGGGTGTGAGAATAAACCCCTGGCTCCCTATATTGGGTGAGGGAGGGTATTCCTGGATAGCAGGGACTAGAAATCCTTATGCAGAAGCAGATTTAGGAACAATTCCTGTGTAACCGAGCTGGGGGCGTTAAAGATGCAACCTTTTCCCTTCTAGTTACAACAGTATGATGCAGAGTCAATGAAAAGCAGGATGAAAGGTCATGTGGGAGGAGGTGCCAGGAAGTAGCAACATAGGTTATGTGAATAGGACTTTGATGACCCCTTCAACTACAGCTCCAAGTCTCCTGCCTTTCCTTTCCTTAACACAACTAATACTTCCAGTACTAGTTTG